CCAGAACAGCCCTGAAAACAGGGACTGATCAACAGGCTGATGAGCCACTGAAAAATGCTCTTTATGTGCAATATATATCATGACTTTTTAAAATATATTTTTGTATCTATAAGCTCAATAAATGCGAAGAATTCAAATGTTTACGTCTTGGATGTTTTCCTCATTTAACTTCTTTCATCATTTGATTTCTGACAAGTCAGAGTGTATTTATTTCCATTCAGGAAAGGAGAGAAAAATACCTTCAAGAGCCTTCAAATACAAAAAATGCATTAATCAATTGGTTTTTCTATCATATAACAGAATATTAAAAACAAACTTCAATGTCCGGGAGAAAACAACCTTAACACGCATAGATATTTTAAAAAAAAGATTTCACAAAAATGTGAAAATTGAAGTGGTCAAAGATGTTGCTGTCCTGCACAGGCCTACTAGTGGCGCATTCATGTGAATCAGGTGTGTTGAATCAGGGAAACATCTAAAACCTGCTGGACAGCGACCCCGAAAGGACCGGACTAGAACACCCCAGATTTAGAGGTTGGCCCGGCGTACAATACCAATCCCATCCTCTAGGTGTCAGATACATACAAGCAAATCTGAAAAAAAAAATCCATTCTTTGCACACAGTTCAACGAAAACTTGGTGCTTCACTTAATCTCACACACATAGACACATGCACACACACACACATTATGACCAATATTAGCCAGAATACTAACAAAGCACTGTGACACAACTTAAAATAGCAGAACCCACCCATTTTTCCTTCACTCCTCCTTTTATTGTTCATAAGTTAATCTCACCAATTACCAGGGGAGCATGGTCTCTTGCTGGCTCCTGTCGGGCTGTCAGCACTTTTCTGTCCCGAGAATAGATGAATTGCCCCATAAACGTGGCACCGCTGAGTTAGAGGAGGGAAAAGCGCTTTCCTTGGGAGTTCGCTGAGGCTTTTGATCTGGCATTTTCTGGTTGGGGAGCAGCTTTGTGTTTTTTTTTATGGCCGTGATGAAAGAATGGGCATTGAGAAGGCATTTGAAAGCTGTTGATTTCCTTTAATTGTCCGTGCTTGCCTCGCGTCTTCTTTTTCTCATCCTCAAAATGATCCGCGTTCACAGTTTATATCTTTTCAGATCATCTTCTTCTCTCACCTTCTCGGATATAATGTTTCTCTTACAGTGATTTTTACTCCCCAACCTTACCCCCTTCCTTTCAAACGTTCTTTTTACCAAAAATATTAAAACACTTTCTTTCTGTGCTTCTACATCTCCCACACTCTGTCACCTTTAAATAATCCCAGTTGTTGTGGAAGCTGTAACTGACTCTTAATCAACAGGGTGTGTTAGAAGCAGACAGCTTTTATTGCCGTTTACGGAGTCTCCTGTGTTATTCTTGTGCGAAGAGTGATGCAGGGCAAAAACAAAGATGCCAGAATGCCTCAGAAGAGCACGACAGAGCCTCGACCTACCTGAACAGAACGTGTCTCCTGGGTCTCACGATGTGTCGGGGAAAAAGAGTGGGGCTAAGCGTCACGAACCTTAACCATCGTGGTGAACTCTAGGATAGTTGCACAACAGATGCAGATGTAGCTCAAAAAACAAGTCAGAATTAAAACATTTGAAGCTTTAGAACCTTCTGCAGTGCTTTGATTCATACAGAAATTCCAACTGATGCTTCGTTTTGAGAGTTTAGCACGTGTTCCACCTTTTCTAAACAGGGACTGACCTATGTGCAACACGATACGGGCCTGTACAAAAGTACGACATTCTACATAGTGTGTCTAAAATAAAGAGCAAAACACAAAGCCCGTCAAAGTTTTCCATCTATCTTCAGAACCTGGCATTTCATTGCCATTGAGCTTTAACGTTTGTCACTTGTTTTGGAGGAAGACGTTGTTTTTTAGATTACTTACTGAATAAAACGTTTCAAAGTCATCACTCGTTGATAGAAGTGTTCACCCCGACTCTAGCACAGGGGTCTCTGGCCCCATCTCAGTGTCCACCCTGGTGTAACATGATCGGGCAAAAACAACAAAGATTCTATATACGGTGTATTTAATTTGTAAAATAAGAAGAGACAGCAGTTCATTAAAACATTTAATTAGAATTAATAGGTCCATAATTCTATCACAGTATAATGGACTACTTTCTTTAAATGGATATGATTTAACGCATTGAAGCATACCATTACGCTTTATGCATTTTCATGCGGTATTTCCTCATGTTACATCCAAAATAAACAAATCCTGTCCTCTGACCAGCCACTTTTTATCCTTCATCTCCCTTTTAGTTCTCTTTCTGTCTCTTTGGCCTCTGTCTGTATATGTGTGTGTGTAAATAAGTCAAACCCAGTGTTGTGTTTCAGGGGGAAGAGAGTCCCTCCATGTTCCCCACCCTTTATTTAGTCTCAAACACCTGGAAATGGATTATTCTCCTCATCTGTCTGCAGTTGGGCTTTGCTGCCTCCTCTTTAAGGATGGATGCATCCTTCAGCCCAACACCAGATCATTTGCACTAACTGCGGCCATGTTTATTACTTCAGGAGAGCCATAGACTTCCTCTGTGCAGAAGCCCCCATTGTATAAAAAAATGGACATTGGAAGGTTCTATGAAACAAAATCCATGGATTCGTCTGGACCCCTTTTGAATAAATTGCCGATGCCTTTCATCTGTTTGTGTCTTTTTGTGTCTGGACAACTTGATGTGGCCACACAACTGAAAGCCAAACTTTCTTGAGAATGGAAAGTAAAGTGTTAAGGAATGGAGCTTTTTAAAAAAACTATTTCAACCCAAAATATTATATACTGCATGATCCAAGTACTTCTGCTGCCTGAACCGAGTCAAATGTTGACTGAAAAAAAATAAAAATGGTGTCAGATGAGATGGGACTCACCGTCATGTGTCCAACCTTTAATGTAGATGTGCGTTGTGCAGCATCTAAAAAGTGCTTTGCAGGTCATCAGAAGCAATTGATTGAAAAATACCAGAAAGAAAATGACAATTTAAAAAGCTTTTGTTATAAGACAAGGTAAAAACACAGCATTTCTGTGAGGTGCAAAGTACTTGACACTGTTGGCAGCAGAAAAAAAGGGACATACAAATAGTCAAGGGACTTGACAATTGCCAAGAAAGGAACCGTCGGAAAGTTAGAGCTTCCTCCTCAAGACGAAAATATTCTGATGCAATTTTAGTCACAGAATAGCATCAAAGGTTGATTCAGCTATCAGTTCCAGCTCATGACATCAGGCTTTCCCCGTGATTATTATGGTGTGGAAGCGGAACACATCCGGTGGCAGATCAGAACACATCTTTATTTGAGGTATTAGTCTTAGCGTGTTAGTTGGTGTAATGATAGAACTATGATAACTGAATTTAAAAAACTCCATAAAAGAAAAATAAAAGTATGTCTGTGAAGGATCGGC